AGGCCAACCTGGGCACACCCACATTAGGCACCAGCATTATTACATCGCACAGAGGTGCACCTAAACTCAGCCAATAAGATCAGCCAGCACCCTCAAACACGCCTCCCCAGCCAGTGGCGATAAGAGGGGATAAGTCCCAGTTTGAGGGCAGCCACCCTCTTGTTGGGGTGTTCTCTTGCAGGGCGGAGGGCGGGGTGCCCCGGCACCTCTCTGGGCTAGAACTCTCTTGGGCTCTCTGTGCACGCTCAGGCTGCGCCCTCTCCCTGGGCTCCACTCTGGATTCACCATCCTGTCCCAGTTCTCCTTCCACGTGTTTTTCCGCTCCCCTGAAGGGGCTGCAGTGGCCATTTTCAGTCGCACACTTTCCCATGGACCCCCGCCATGCGGTTCTTCTGAGAAGGTCATCCTTGAACTTCCCTTTTCCTCGGAAGCGTGGCTTGGATTGCAGAAATGCTTCCGCTGTGTGAATTCTTTCCGTGTTGAGAAGAACCGAGGGAATCCACCCCAGACCTAACACAATGATTACCTGAAGTGGTCAGGTCTCGGGAAAGATTTCGACTGAGCTAGCAGTTCTGAGGAAGGAGCCCTGGCACTCACTCACTCACTCACTCACTCACTCACTTACTCACTTATTTGTTATTTATCTTTGTCACAAGCCTGTACACCAGACAGCCCCAAGAAATGTTTTCCATCAAACTGGATGTTTTCGAAATCAGTCGAGAAGATAGGCGTTTTAAGTATCTTGAGGCGACGATTGTAAATCTCTGTGCTTGAATGAACTTTTGCATTGAGCTCTTGTAACCCATCTTTACAGCCCATTTAAACAAACCTATGCACATGCATCCAACAGAAATCCTTTCCTCTTTGCTCCCTCTTCTGACCTCAACCACTGTTTATCCCAGGGTTTCCTCAAGTAGGTGGTAAGAACCCCTGCGGCCCTGGAGGGGTCCCCGCTGGGGACAGGGGTGGGGTGGGGGTGGGTGGTGTGTGTGTGTGTGTGTGTGTGTGTGTGTGTGTGTGGCAAAGCAGATACCTACACTTTATCCTGGATGATAACCTAGAGTGCAGAAGTGTTTCATTGCCAGGGGACTGCTGAGTAATTTTTTTTTTCCTCAAAAGGATGTGGAGAGCCAGTAATGTTGGGAATCTCTGGATAACCCACCAGTGACTTTTGTTGTGACACCCTCATTTGGCCTTCTAACTGTCGCTGTCTCCAGGGTCACCATGTGTTCACTTGTCTGACCTGGTGCTTTCCCCCATTTGAATGTATCTTTAAAGCCAAGTAAATCCCCTGAAATTCATTTTGAGGTTTGAGCGGTTTCTCACCACGACCATCCCTACTGCCAAAGAAACAGTCTGTCTCAGAGGACAGTCAGCGGTATACTTTTCATCTGAGCACAGCACACTTTTATTCCCATCACGGTTGTTTTTTTTCCTTTCTGCTGGCAACAACCGGGGTTGTTAAAATGGCAATTTAAAGGGGCTCGAACCATATTGCCTGCCTCTTCTCTGGGAGGCAGATGTTTAAATTTTCAAGTGGCTGTATGCATATTTTCAAATAATTTATTAAACAGAACAGTCAAAACATACCTACAGAGTTGAACCTAGTGCTTGGGTTGGCTGTATAAGTCTTACCACAGCAACAATCATACATCAAAGTGAACATATGTACTTTGGTCACCTTATGTTCCCAAAGATAGATTTGGGTTTCCAGTAAATGCTAATGAACCGCTGGTTTTGTTCTTAGCTTGCTGGTCTTAAGATTACCATTTGCATTTTGATGCAAACAGATGTCGGATCTGTAAAGGCAGGGTAAGGATTTTAACACCCTGCCTTTTAAGATAGATGATTTTCACAGATCTATCTCCATGGAAACTGGACAGGAAAGGCCACCACCAGTCCAAAGCAAGATGATTCCCCTGTGGAGCACAGGTGCTGGCTGCCAGGTGGCATCGGGTCCCGCAGTTCATGGCAGTCACCACGGTATAAGTCTGTGACATTTTAAACTGGCAAAGACATAGGGGAACACGAAGGGGTGGTCTGCTTGGACAATCGCAGCAGGTTCCCTGAGCAATGAGCAGCGAGAGAACACTGATCTTGGTTTTTAAACTGTAGCAAAGGCATCAGGATCGTTATTAGGCTTGTTCTCTTCTCCTTTGCTGGAAAGTCACCGACTCTGTTTTGCACTGGTGAGTTAAAGTTGCCCAAAGGGGAATCATTCCTTACCATGTGAAACGTCATAAATTTTTAAGCGTTCTGAAAACGCATTTAAGACTCGCCATGGTTCTAGCTGAACTTGCTAAAAGTGCCACCTTGGCAGAGAATATGAAGCCATTTGTTATGCTGGCAGTTTAAAGGCTAATAAAGAGATATTTACAATAACTTCATTTTTGCTTTAAAAATACTTTAAAACCCAGTAAAGAAATGTAATACATCCATTAAATGCTTTGGATATATAAAAGATAGGAAAACAGGCATATGTAAACGATATGAAAATTTAGACTATTTCCTCTGTTTGATACAACAGCAGTGGTTCTCAATCTGTGGGCCGCGACCCCTTTGGGGGTCAAATGACCCTATCACAGGGGTTCCCTAAGACCATCGGCAAACACATAAATATTTCACAACATATAATTACATGTTGTTTTGTGATTAATCACTGTGCTTTAATATGTTTCATTATGTTCAATTTGTAACAAAGAAAATACATCCTGCATATCAGATATTTACATTATGATTCATAACAGTAGCAAAATTACAGTTAAGAAGTAGCAATGAAAATAATGTTGTGGTTGGGGGGGTCACCACCACATGGGGAACTGTCTGAATGGGTCGTGGTGTGAGGAAGGTTCAGAACCCCTAATTAGAGTAGCTCCAAACTCACTGCCGTGCAATCAGCGCTGGCTGGTAGCTGCCTCACAGTGGCCAGAGTGTGAGTGTCTGAGACGGACACTGTTTACAGGAGCAGAAAGCCCAGCCTTTTGCTGGTGGTTTCAAACTGCTGACCACGCGGGTTGCAGTTACCACTGCACCACCAGGACTCCATAGTTAATAGTTGTGGTGATTCAAAAAGCTCTTAAAAGTACTTCCAGAAAACTAAAGTTATGAATACATTTCTAATATTTCTACATCCGCATTTAAATGAAAATGCATTTTTAATATTGTGATAGTTGGTTTTTGTGCCGATTTGGCTGGGCTAGGATTCTCAGTGCTTTGGCAGCTGACACCTAATAACCTCTCATGATCTGGCCTAACACAACATAATACATTCCATGATAAAGATCTGCTCTGAGCTACCAGGTTGTTCTAAGAAGGGTAGGGTGGGGTGTGAGCCCTACTCACGTCACAGCCCTGATGCAATGGAAAGGAAGCTTCCTCAGAGGTTTGGCCTGACCCTTATACAAGAAGAGGCTGTGGGAAAGCTCACTTTCTATTGGCTGGGTCTGGATCCTGTGTCTGGCTCACGGACGTCCAGTTCTTTGGTCTCAAACCAATGGCCAACTATATTACCCACCAATCCCAGGAGCTATTATCTGTCTGCCATCGAGCCTGCTTGGATTCCTTTGTTTCCCTAGTCACAAGTCTCATCTACTGGCCACTAGTCTGTGGGAAGGAAGACAGGACTTACCTGCTTCTACAACGTCATTCTCTTGACATAAATGTATCTCTTTATATTTATATGTGTGTGAATATATGTATGTATACATGTATGTATATATGTATATCACTGGTTTTACTTTTCTAGAGAATCCAATCTAACTCAAATATAATCATAAATTTTATTAAATAATAGCTGATTAACTACGTTTCTCCTTCATATTTTCTTATACCCTTTCACTCCCTTTCATTTAGTAAAATAATTCCATGTGGTTGTTTAAGAGAAAGGTTGACAGAAGGACCTAGAAAAATGAGCCGTTTTAGATTTATGAGTCTCAATAGCTTCACTTTCAGGGTGACGGCAAAATAGCAGATTTGAGAGAAAATGTGATGGGGAAGAGCCAAGACCCCCAAGCCCAGGAAAAATGAAGACCCCCTAGAAGAACAGTTCTAGAAACACAGATGTGGGAGGTCCCAGAGAAGAGAGGTCCTTGGTCTATCTGCCAGACTACCTAGACCAAGCATTCGTGTATTGCCTCTCAGATCCAAGGCAACATTCCTCGTCCTTCCTGGGATGCTAACCTCAAGCATTTGGCGGATGTTGGAGAGGATCAGGCTTTTCTTTCTGATTCCATGGCGCTCCCGTCTTCTTTCGCATGTAGCATGTCGCGGCCGGTACCATGAGGGACACTTCATGGTGCTGACCTCCTTCTTACCCGCAGTTAGTTCCAATCTTGCAGGCTTGCAATCTTACACCAATCTTGCAGGCTATTTCCTGGCGCCATCCAGGGTGATTTCCCAGCACACCACCCTCACAAACCGAGTTCCAGCAAGTTCCACTGCATGGTACCTCACTGTGGAGGGACCCCAGGAGGAGGCTTCCCTGTGAATTTCCATCATACAGTCATTTCAAGGGAAGTCTAGAAAGGACCCTTTCACAGGGGTGACCCAATTCATCACAGTAGCAAAATGACAGGGATGAAGTAGCAATGGAAATAATTTGATGATTGGGGGTCACCACATGAAGAACGGTATTAAAGGGTCGCGGCATTAGGAAGGTTCGTAGCCATTGTCTTAGATCCTTTGGCTTTCTCCGCCACCATCCAACACCTGAAGGACACGCAGGGCACATCCTGTCCTGTGTAGCGGTCGTGTCCTCACAGTTTGGGGTTTGTTTGTTTTTGGGGGGGGGGGTCACTTAGATATGACACAACTGTTAGGAGACACAGGGAATACCCATACCTACTTAGCTCTGCTGCTAAGTCCAAGTGCCCCCAGGTATACGCAGAGAGGCCTAGAACAAAGGACTCCTTCTCACTCCTAGTCTCAGAAGAGTTATTCAGAAGCACTCGCACCAAACTTGCACTCGGCGTGAAAAGAAAATAGGAAGCTGGCAGACTGACCTGCGTGATATAGATGATTTTGTGTAGCTGAATTAAGATCTGCTGGATAGGGTCACTGATCTGCCGCACTTTCCTCTGGGACACAGCGATCCCCGCAGAGGCTGTGGGTGAGAAGATTTGCAGTTAGTTAAGAAACCCAGTGCCCTTTTCCTAAAGTGCTATTAGTGAAGAGGGGGGTAACATTCTGAGAAAAAAAATTAAGCAAATACTTTTATCCTACCAAGGAGAGACTCTGCATAGACTCTGGTGACCCTTAAATACTTTACGATACATAAAACACAGTTCCTTCCCTATACCCTTTGGTCCTTTAAGTGATGAATTGGCCCCATTCCCTGTCATAACACCCCCTTATTTTCTTCCCATTACACAATTTTGAGCTTTCTATGGATTTAAATTCAGAAATAACCATTGCCTGAACAACAGTTAAGATTCTTGTAAATGATTTTTATCTAAGTGCTTTCTGAGAAAACTTGCATATTTATCATAAAAATTGTTTTCAAAACACTTACAGAGAAAATTTAATGTGGCTTTTTACTATAAGCATATGTAAAACATACACACACACACACACACACACACAAGAGAATAAAATATGTAAGTGTGTGGAAATACTTTCTTTAAGGACATCTTTACTAAATTAGTTCAGAAACTTACACAAGAAATCATCTAGCTCTGGTTAATATGCAGTACGTGTCTCAGTTAAATGTCTGAGGTTTTAAAAACAATCTATCTCCCTTAGATATTATGTCTAACTGCTTTTGTACATCAACTACATTGCCAATAAAATAAGCATCAATGCATTCTCTTTTTGATAAAAAATGTGAAGGAAACATTAATGTAACTATAAACTAGGAAGCTCAGAAGTAGAGTTGTTTATTCCAGGCTGTAGTCCGGCCAGTTGTACATATGCCATCTTTCCCAGAGTAGTGCTTCTTACAGAAATAATTCTTAAAATGCTAATCATAATCTAGATCTATCGCTGCTCATGGGAGAAAAATGAAGCAGTTTTCCATAGAAAGATTTTCATCTTTGGAAATCCTAGGGAGCAATTCCACCCTCTCCTATAGAGGGACTCTGCGTTGGAATTAACTAGATGACAATGGGTTTAGTTTGTTGTTTTAATATCCAAAATCAGAGACTGCGATGCAGTCAAGTTGATGTGGGTACTCCAGCTTTGCACTTTCTAAAATAGCTTCTTCTATGGCAGCAGTTCTCAACCTGTGGGTCATGACCCCTTTGAGGGTCAAATGATGCTTTCATAGGGGTTTCCTAAAACCAACAGGAAACACACATTTCCGATAGTTGGGGGGTCACCACAACATGAGGAAATGTATTAAACGGCCTCGGCATCAGGAAGGTTGAGAACAACTTTTCTATGGGGACTACTCCACATTTTTGAATTGTAGATTTAACACAGGGAAGAATTAAAATCTCACAACATGGCAGAGTTTTCTTAGGTTTGTGATTACATTTTAAGTAGAAAACCACCCAGGCATGACTCTACCTTGCCACAAGACTGTGCTCATCTGTGGCCCTAGATACAAAAACAGAGATAGTTAGCTAGAATGTCTACCTTCTGAGCCACTTAACTAAGCAATTTAACTTAGAAAAAGTTATTTTCCATAAAACCCTTGGGCTAGTACCTCTCCGATCCCATAAATGCTTGCCTTTTGAAAACAGTTTGATTCCTCACTGTCTAAAAAATATCATTTAAAAATGTTTAATTATGTATCATAAAAACAAAACAAAGTACCACAGGCAAGATCCAAGGTCCCCTATCTACTGCAGCTACCGCCTCCGAACTAAGCCCCAGTGTCAGCTTGATGTGTAAACTTCTAGTCATGTATGCAATACATACCTGAAGAACAATATTTGTCAAACTGTGCTCGAACCTGAAACAAATTTAATGGGTCATGACCAGCAATAAAAAAGTTAATGGAATAGAGTGGAGTGTAATAGAACAGAACAAGAAAAGTTCAGAGCATATCACATAGAGTGAGCGTTTACTCAGCTAAAAAGCAAAATGTCCCTTGTTGTTAAGTACCGTCAAGTTATAAAAACCCTACGTACAACAGAGCGAAACACCGCCAATTGTTCTTATGCTCGGGCCCCCTGTTGCAGCCACGGTGTCAATCCAGCTCGTGACGGGCCTTCCTCCTTTCCACTGCCCCTCAGCTTTACCCAGCAGACACTGGTCTCTCCTGACAACATAACCAAAGGATGTGACACAGCATCTTTAAGGTGCGTCCTTGCCTCTAAGGAGCATTCTGGTTGCACTTCTTCCTTGACCGTTCTGTTTGTTCTTTGACAGTCCGTGGCACTTCAAAGGTTCTACTTTAAAGATTCTTTGTCAACACCATTGTTCAAATGTATCAATTCTCTTCAGTCTTCTTTATTCCGTGTCCAACTTTCACGTGCATATAAAGCAATGGAAAGACAATGGCTTGGGTAAAGCATACTTTAGTCCTCAAAGTAACATGCTGGCTTTTCAACACTTTAAAAAGGTTTTGTGCAGCTTATTTCCCTAATACAATTCATTCTTTGATCTCTTGGCTGCTGCTGCTTCTGTGAGCATTGATTGTGGATCTAAGCAAGATGAAATCCTTGGCAAGTTCAACCTTTTCTCCGTTTACCATGATGTTACTGATGGGTCCAGTTGCGAGGATTTGGGTGTTCCTTACATTGCCTTGTGATCCACCCCGAAGGCTGCAGTCCTTGATCTTCATCAGCAAGGGGTTCATGTGCGCCTCACGTTCAGCAAGCAAGGTTGTGTCGTCTGAATACTTCAGGTGGTTATAAGCCTTCCTCCACTCCTGATGCCACTTTCCTCACATAATGCAGCACGGCATACATACACAACCTTGACACATATATTTCCTGATTTTAGACTATGCAGTCTGCCCTTGTTCAGTGCGCCATTTCCAAAAGCAGTTTTGAAAATACTACTTTAACAAATCTATACTAATATGGTGATACCTCATGTTCTTTTATTCGCTCTGTCATAATCTTTTTATTTTTCTTGCCAACACACATAGCTGTGGTTCATTCTTTATAACCATCAAATAGCACACAGACTATCGAGATGTGCCATGTTTTACTTAGGTCACGTACCACTTGATGGGTATGTAGTTGCCTTTATCTTATCAGGAATAAGTGATGCTGCATTGCAGATAAAGGCCCATTTTCATTGTGCATAAGGTATAAGAGTGTTTTTCAGAGTAGATAAGGAAATATGAAATTGTATATCTATTTTTTATTTTAACAAATACATACAAAGATGCCTCACTTAACTTATACCAGAGAAAAGCCCATTTTTTAAACACTTTGATGAATGCTGTATATCAAACTTTTCCATTTTGCCAATCTGATTTTAATGTGCATTTTAGAGATTACTAGTGCATAAGGTCAGAACTGACCCAACGTCACCTACCAACAACAAATGACATTCTTGTTGTTCTTATCAATTTCCTGTTTGACACTTGTTTTCTATCTTCTTTATTGTTCTGCAACCGCTTTTTACATCCTTTGAACACTGTTGTTTTGCAATTTATACATCAAAGGTACTTTTTCTGAATCTGCTACTTTTTTTCTCCTTAAAAGGCATTTCTCACCCCCACCGCCCAGACTAGAGATAATTTCTACTCTCAAGTACCAAAAAGCCAGTCCCTCTGGTACCGTCATCAGCTGGGACTTCAGCATCAGTTCAGCACCACTGGGGGCGCTGTGGCAGCAGTGGTGTGGTGGAGTTTAAGACTAGAAAGGATGGGCAGGAAGTCTGGCTACCTAGACCATTTCGCAACTCTCTGGATTTCCGGGACAGCGTCACAAAATCATGGATATGAAAATGCTTAGTCTTCCTTTCCTACCTGATCAAATCCTCACCATTTTTTATAGTCCCAGGGGAAAAGGTGTATCTATTTAACTTTTAGTAATTTTAGGAAAACATTTAAAAATTAAAATCCAGACATATTTTTATTCATCCTTAACAAAGTCACACTCTTGAATAACCACCCAGTTTCATGGCAAATATCACTCATATCCTACTTTGGATTTTTTTTTTCCTTAAAGAACTAAAATCTTACAATCTTTTCATCTTTAAGACTAGATTTTTGAAAACTTCACTAACAATTCACAGAAAAAAACACAACAATGCACGCAAAGGTGTGTGAAAATTTTGTTCTAAATGATTTTTTTAAAAGAGAGAGCTGTAAGAGCCCCCAATAAAAAATTATTTATTTGGGGGGGGAAGAAGAATATTTTTATTAAAACAATTGAATAATCTACTGTGAAAAAATTTAATTTGAATAAGTTTTAAGTAAAACTAATGCTTCAGATATTGAAATACCTTCATATTCTTATGATTTTTGTTTACATAGTAAATTTAATTCGTGTTTCAAGATGTAGAAAAACTACAATTGTTTTTTATAAGAAATAAAATGCTTAAAGGTGACAGACATCAAAACCGAATGAAATTATTTTCCCATTGTCTGTTAAGCAGCAACAGAGCTCAGTGGGCAGGCAGCCCTCACCCTGCCTGGCACACATAGTGACCCCACCCATTCTGTGTGGGCAAGGCTGTCCAGACAAGACCCTTGGGGTGAAAGTGGGGGTCTGGGAAAGGAAGAGGGGCTCTTGGACGTGCAGAAGCATCACTTCTTTCTCATGTGGAGTGTTAACAGCTTGTGGGGACATTTGAACGTTCAAAAGAGATGTATGATTTCGATAATAAAATTTTGAATCATTTGAAAAAACAAAACAGTGAATCCTACTTGCTAGCTTTCTCTGTGGAGAGTATAATACTACCCAGCCATTCTCAGCCCCCTTTGGGGTAGTAAATAGGAGCTGGGGGTGCAATCTGTGCCCAGATCGCACACACTTATTGTTGCAAAGTGTTGTCAAGCCAATTCCTGCACACAGCAATGCCAAGGCCCAGAGTAGAAGACCTGTCCCGTGGGGCTGTCTTGCTTGTAATCTTCATGGGAACAGAGCACCAGGTCTGTGTCCCATGGAACCACTGGATGTGGCTGAACCACCAACCTTCTGGTTAGTGGCTGGGCACTTAACCCAATGAATGTTTAACCATTGCGGCACCGTGGATCTTTCTTTATGCACTTGGCCTCATCCTCACAACCATTCTGGAAGGTGGATGTTTGTATCCCCATTTTTCAAGTAACAATACAAGCCTTGGAACTGATGAAGGAAATTGACTGACCAAGATTATGGAGCAAAAGGAGAGCTGGGAGTTGAAACCAGGTGGGCTCTGAAACAGCACTGTCTAGCTAGGAGAGATGAGGTTCTAAGACTTCTTTGCAGCCTGTCAGTAGAACACTCTATAATCTCAGACAATCCCTCTGGCTACCTCAAATACAAGATTATATCTACATTCCTTCCCAGACCTGAAATACTATTACTCTTTTTAACAAGCTTGCTACTTCCAGCTTGACGTTCTGCCTCCACTTTTGAACAGTTAATTGACTAAAACTTTTAGAAGCACATACATGAAATAAATTGGAACCATCAGGTGCATTGCACTACCTTCTGTTTTATTACCTTTTCATGCTTGACTCTAGCAGGGGTACTTGCCCATCCCTGGTGCTTTGAGACCCAATTTACACTACATATCCATTCTACTAAAACTAAAACTCACAGTGCAGGCCCTGGAGCTGCTAATTATTACAAATTCCAATTTTAAAAAAAGATGGATTACATTGTATTCCCCAAATTGACCTAGATATAGTCTCAACCTATTTTTCTGAATTCTCTCTGCTAAGAATTAGGAATTTTTAGAAAGCTGGAGAGGCAAAAGGTGCAGGGGCTCCTTGGAGAAGTAAAAAAAGAATGTCTCTTAATGAACAGAAGCAAAACATACGTGAACATCTCTATATAGATTAACTACCCTGTTGAAAATGCCGGGTAATTAACTGCCCTGTTGAAAAACAGTACAACTTTTTCAGTGTAAATACTAGTGAATAGTTTTGAGCTCACCTCTCCCTTTGACTTTTATAAAAGGGAATAAACTTGATGGGTTGTAGCTTGGATCTACAAATACTGGGCGATCCACCACTGAGTCTGCCAGAATGGAAGGCATTTATGGAAACCAAGGGTGTTATACTCAACATGGTTCATGGGAGGATCTCTCAGAGAACCGTGAAATGGGGGGACCAAGAGTGGCTTATTAAAACCATGAAGAGCAGGGCTTCAAGGAACACCGGACATAAATGGGGTGGAATAAAATGGGTATTTAAGGGGTAGCTTCTGGGTAGAAAGATCTGTTGCATCAAAGACAGGCGTCTCACAGGTGCAGAACACATTTGAAGAAGAGAGGATGGTGGAGTTTAGTCAACTCGCCGAACAACACAAAGGAGTGATATGGGACACGGTTGAAGAGGTAGCCAGGGAACATATATGGCAGTGAAGCTTCATGAGGTGAGCAGAGCTGAATTCAGAAGTCCTGGTTTCAATGTTCTCCTTTTGCTGGGCTGTTTCTCTCACAACATTGTTGGGTCTTGGGTTTTGTTTGTTTGTTTTAACCCA